TGTTTTCATAAGATTTGCAAAACTTGACRAATTATACATTTTTGCAGTCATTTGAAATGTATTTTCCTCTCTCTTATTCCTGTTTCCCAAGAATTTGTGTCYCTATAAGCTTTGAGATGGGGAAGCTTATTTCAAGGTCTGTTTTGTGTAACATTTGCGAATCTTCCTTCCAGATGCAAAACTAAGAGRGGCTGCAAATACAGCCTTGGTTGTTAGGGGAGTGAGGCTTTGCTCTTTAATTCCTCAGTTAGTGCTGCTGTCCTTGGGAAGTTGTTTGACATGGCAGTGCCACCCACTGGATTTGCTTTTCCAATGCCCATGTAGTGAAAGCTCCTGCCACTAAAATCTTGAACCACCTGACAAAAAGCACTCAAGATTCTGACGGTGTTGGGAAGGTAGGAGTGGAGCAGAAGGGGACAAATCACAGCTGTATCAGAAACCCTTGTCCCCAGAAAGCAGCTGCCACACTGGGGAGACAGTGGAGCTGAGGAACTCCCRTCTTCACTGGAGCAGATCCCAGCCTCTCATTGCAATCCAAGCCAAGCAGTCAGGCTCTACTCTGAGATTTTGGCACARCTACATTAAGGCTCGTGAACAACCAATGGCTTGGTTCCATCTGCCTTGAGACCCCAAAGGTTTGGGTTTTCCAAACCAGTCCTCCCACAAATTCAGCTGTTACTGCAGTCTCACCTGCTGCATCCCAAATGAACAAGATCCRCACTGCATCAAAGTTACTTCACACTGTAAAAGGTACCTCTGTCCTCACTGCTCACAGACCATCTACAAGCCATACCTCAGCCTGAACCAGGATAAAAASATTTCAATTTCCCAGCAATAAGGAGATAAATGGAACTAGGCCAGGCTGCCTGAAAAGCTCAGCTTGCTGAAATCTGTCACCACTCCCAGGGGAAAGAGGGAACTGTAACTGGGCTGTTGCAGAAAGCCTCACATGAGATTTTGAGTTAGGCTACCAGCAAAGTAAATTCCTGAGGCAGCACATTGAAAGAAATAACATCTCTGTTGGAGTAATACAAGCTTTGCCTACAAGCTTCAGTGTCTTCAAGATTCTGTGAGCCAAAAAGCAACATGTTTCCCTTCAGTRAGGAGCAAAAGAGGGAAAAGTATCCTCTGAGCACCTGAGAACAATCCAAGAACTCCTAACGGAATTTTGAAACTTTTGTTTGGACCTCAGTTTCTGTAACTGAAACAACAGGCATAATACATGACCTGAAAGGACTTTTTGGAGGCAAAGAGTTAATTGGTGCCATAGATCTAGAGCTGAGGACAGAACAGGAGAGTTGCCTGCAGACATCTTATCAATGTTCTGCAAAGGACGGGARGGCAAAGTGACAGATTTTTTATAAAGGTTTAATGTAAAAGGGGAAGTTGGATACCCTGAAATGTTTAACTGCTCCAGGGATGCCTCTCAGGCCTTCTGGCTTTGCTGGATCAAAGGAACAAGCCAAGAAACTTTGACTCCACACAAATTACACAGCCAGTGACCAACCTGCTCAGAAAACCAGAATGGAGTTCTATTTTCAARTGAAAATCCAACTGGAGAAAAGTCCATAGCACGTAAGGATATGGCAGAGGGGCTTCTTGTKCTCAGTAGCTGTTGGCCCACTCAGACTCTTCATGTTTTCACTACTRCATTTCCTTTAATATTCCAAATCTTGGTAAGCAGAGCATGAACACAACTCAGTAGCTCCCTGCAGAGACTGTGCCAACAAAGGAATCCTCTACCTGGACTGTGTGTGTGTTTTCCTTCCTGGATGGAGGCTGCCCTGTCCTTCAGTGGCCCTGTCAGTGACCCAGCAGTGTCAGGTGTCCATGTTCTCTGGAACAGATAAGAACAAATTGGTGAGCAACTTCCCACCAGTGCTTCCATTTTACAAGATCTGTGGGAGGAATTGCTCAGAAGGATTGGCATCTACTTGGATRATGTTTAACACCCAGCAGCACCAGACTTTCTCATCTAGACCAAGCCAAGAAAGCTTAGCACTTATATTTGTGGCAATCAGAACACTGCAGATAATTCATCTGCACCATGGCTGCTGTTTCACTTCCTACTGAGATGATTCTCTTCAGCACTGAATCTGACCCAGCTTGTCACCTGGGCTTCTGCTGCTGTCACTCTGGTCTCTGCAAAAGATGAGTGGGAAGAAAAGACTTGGAGCTGTGAGTCAATTCCCTCTCATTACCTGAAGAAGGCAATTAATTTTCCGTCGTGCAAGAGCTAGAGGGCACTGCAGTCAGGCGCTATCCATAGAAAAGACATTTTCTTGAGAYTGTTTAAGGAAGAGTCTGCCACAGCTCAGGTGTTAAGAGGACAGCTTGTGCTGGAAAAAGAGAAKTAAAAGTAGGGAAACAGCTGGTCTCCACGACAACCATGTGTATGAAGCACAGAGGGCAATAGTCATCAGGAATGGATGAAAAGCAGGGTGAGGGCTGGAGAATAGAGCACTTAAATAAAGAATGAGGGAGATTGTCTACTGAATTGAGACACTTGTGCTTTAGCAGACAATGTTTTGATTTCACATAATTTTCACTGATTCTCTCTGTTATTCTTTTCTTGTTTTAAAAAAAAAAGTTTTTAAGCTAACTAAATATGTATTTCCTTGTTTTGCAATGAAAATACCCTCAGTTATAATAAGAAAGTGTCTCCTTTTACTCTGTCCATGGACCTGCCTGCTGCTGAGGCCTGGTTCAAATGTTTGTACCTGGTGAAACCGAGCAAAAATACAAAATACACGACTGTTGCTTCCCTACAATTCTGAATGAATTAACTTTTCTGTTGTATCCATTGGATACCTGCTGTGTATTAAACCTAGTGCTCAACAGTGTCTTCTTCCTTTGGTCTATCAATGTGTTTTATTTAGGTACATTACTGGTCCATTGGTTATCATATATTTAATTAAAAATTAAAGGAACTGCCATGTGTTGATGATGCCTTTCATCACTCCAAAAGATACAATTCTGCTTATCAACAGAAGAGAGCCATGGAGGAAAGAGAGCATTGTTAGGAAATTGTGCGAGAGAAGAAAAAAAAAAAATCACTCAAATCACAATATTTGAGTGTCCGGATTGCTCTGAACTCTGTCATGTATCTGCAGCTCACAYACACCAGAGCCCGGGCTTTCTAAGGGGGAAGGAGCTGAGCACTCCAGAAAAAAACTCTGGCTTAAACCACTCTGTCTGCTTTAAGGCMAATGGGACTTTATTCTTAAGTACCTGGTCCTGGAAGGGCTCAGTGCCAGTTAAATCAGAGGTCACTGTGGAATCTGTAAAGGATCAGACTCGAGGTGAACAGGATGGAAGGAGTTAAAACATGCCACGTTGTAAGAGTACGAAGAGATACCTTAGCCTTCCAGTAGCATGGGATTCCTAGCTGGAATGCCACAGGAACCAAAGTTCTCCACACAGAGACTTTCTAGAACTGAGCCTGATTTCAACGACTCACTGAGGCTGAAACTCTTGAGATAGAGATCAGCTCTGATCTCTRCAAGACAGGTTTCAAAACTGAAGGAGAAGATAAAAAGAGTAACATGCACCAAATTATTTTAATCAYAAAGAGACTAAGAGTACATTCATTAGGACAGATTATTCTAGAACATCAAAATGTTTCTGCTTTCAAGTGGATAATATTAATACTACTCAGATTTCTTTTATTTTAGCTTTAAAATTTACACCTCTCTGAGAAGAAGGAAAGGCACTACTCACCTTTTTTCAAACACCAGTACAGCCTGAGGCATCTGAGGGAAGAGAGCTGTAGGCTTTGCACTTACCTAGAATTTAAAAAAAAGGATTTGAATGATTGCTGGAAATTTAGTCTACAGTTTTTATTAATGCTTCAACCCAGCTGCCTCAGGTAAAATATTTAAGTGACCCACACAACCAGGTGCTTTCCTGGCATCAGCAGGTGGTCACTGACTCATGTGAAGAGACTAAAATAACCAATTTGTAAGCAAATTGTAGGCAAAAAACCTACCAAAGAATCAATCACTTGTCAGGGGCTGGAAGGTAAATTTATAAAGAATATTACATTTCTTTACAAATTTTATAAGGAAATAAGGTAACAAAAGCAGCGAGGTACATCTGTGTTAAAACAAAAAGAAGTTTAAAAAGAAAGCTCTGATTCTGGAATTTTTACAGACCCGTGTAGATTGATCTCCCTTAGACAGACACTCAAAAGTGTAAATATATGTGTACTATAGTCACTTTGGCTGTTTTTTTATTGTTAGCAAGAGACAAAAACGCATMTGAGGTGCAATTCAACTGCTTTTAGGTGTCTGTTCCAGCTGAGAAGAGTACACACACCTGCTTCCCTCGGCAGTCCTCGGGGAGAATTCAATCACCACGCTCAGCCGGGAGCCTCTTCACTGCCGACATCCCAAGCAGATCAAATTCCTCCTCAAATTATGTCAGACATTCTCCAGGCTCTGTTTGGTTAATGGGGCCGTTTAGCTGCTTCCAGCCAGGCACAGCCTCTGCGCTTCTTCCCGGGGAATGGAAACCATGGAATAACCACGATGGCGAGAGCAGCTCTAACGCAGCGCAGCACCTCAGGAACCACCTGRAGGAGCCTTTGAACGGCACCTCCTGCCCGACCCATCACTGCCAGACCTTTCCATGGTTCTGTACACCCAGCATGGTCTGCCCCGGTGTAACAGAGGTTCTTAGCAGTTTGCTCAGCTCTGCGTTCCCCACACGGAGCCCGCAGCCACAGTCCGGGGACAAGGAGGGGAAGCACAAGGGAAGGGCTCAAGGAAAACACTTTCCCCGGGGAAAGGCGCCTGCTCGCAGGGCACAACGCACCCGGGGCGGTGTGGGGGACGAAGGGACCGGGTGACCCCTTCATGACCACGATGGTGCCGAGCCCAAGGCAGCGGAACCCGGATCCGCGCTAGGGAGGGCAGCGAGCCCCACGCCCCAGCGGAGCCTCCCCGGCAGGGCCGGGCCGGGCCGCCCTGGCCCCGCCTCAGAGCGCTGCCCGTGTCCCGTCCGGCGCTGCCCGGAGCCCTTCCGGGCCGGCGGAGCCCCGGGTGTGCCATGGGCGCCGGCGGGCGCTGGGTGCGGGCGGCACACACAGCCCTCAGCGTGGCCGTGGCGCTCGGGCTTCTCCTGCACCGCACGGGTGAGGCGGGGCCCGGCCGGGCCGCGGGGAGGGGGCGGYGGGGCCGGGGCTGCTCCTCCCCCGGGGGTAGGCGGAGGACGGGATGAGCAGGACGGGATGAGCAGGCCGGGCCCCGCGGGACACGGGCGATCCCCACCCGGCCGCGGCTCCCCGAGCACAGGGGAGGTGTGGGGAGCCCTTTCTCCCCCTCTCTCCTCTCTCCCCGCGCCCTCTTTCCGCCTGGTTTCTCCCCATTTCCTCCTCCTAGACTCGGGGCCCCATTGCTAACGCCAGAGAGAACAATCCCGGACGCTTCACAAGGAGCTGCTGCTTTCTGTCTGGTTTTGGTACCTTTCAGATCTGCAAAAGCAGGTGGATCGCGGGGAGCTGCTGCAGCCGCTGATCTTCGTTTTGCTGGTTTTGTGCTCGGTTCTGCTGTACTTCAAGGTGTCTCTCATGGATCCGGGTTTTGTTAAGCCTGAAGAGGAAGGGAAGGTAAATCCCTTCATGAATAGAACAAAGTGGTGAGGCTGTAAGGTCTATAGGTTTTTTTACTTATTCTACTCTGGTAGATAAGACAATCTGAAACAGTTTCTGTTGTGCTGGCATGAAGGACACATGCACAGACGGTTGGAGATGAGGATAGACTGTCTCACATTTATATTTTGTAACAGCAGTTGAGTCCACAGGCTTTGAATGTGCCTTTCACACTGCAGTACCCTTGTACGTGACTGTGCCATTTGAGCCTRAATCCTCTCCTAGAGCAGAGGCTGCAGTGCCCTATGGAATGTATACATGACCTATTTTATGTTAAGCACTGCTAAGTGGTACAAGTGCAAAAAAAACCCCTGAATTGTAGGACAGGCTTGGCAGACAGTGCTCTCTGCAGCTCTGTTTATTGAACAGTTTATGGATTTGTTGCCCTCTCAGAGGAACGTCCACAAACAAGTTACAGTGAAGTAAATGGAGATGCAAAGTTTCAATAACTGATAGTCTGCTCAAGGTTCACTGCCTTACAGACTATGTAGGAAAAAGCATTATCAATCTTAGTGATCCATCATTAGTATCAATGTTGGCTGTGCATGACTAAGTATCACTGCTCATACTTAAGTCATTCTACTGAAAGTAGTATATATGGATACATAAACATGCATACTCATACTGAAAAGACACTGTTTTAAAGTGAAGTCTAACCTTGTTTTTGTTCCAGAGTGTATCTTGTCCACAGTTATTTCTGCCTCAGTGCAAACATCCTTTAGATGGTTACAGCAACCCATTTTGTCTCACTGTACCTTAACTGTCTGCAGCTTCTGTAGGAATTCTAAGGAATTAYTTTGTTTAACCTTCCTAATGATAGAGATAACAAGCACTGTGTAACTGTAGAGTAAAAGGATGCAACAAGGCAGCTCAGTCATGCCGAGACTGCAGCCTGGGAACTCTCCTCTGTCCCTCCTTTTCTCTTTTTTTTTGTAGGAAGGTGAGGATAAAGGACAAGGTGTGGTTATCCCTCAGATTCCAGGTGACATTAAGCTGCGGCGCTGTGGTTACTGYTTGGTTAAGGTGAGCATCTAGAACACACTGCAAGAGGTTAGGATGATTGATTTGAGAGGTTATGTTGTTCTTCAGCTGCTATTGGTGTTTTTCTGGTCTGTGTGTTGCTCAGAGGAGGCCAGGCAGATTGTAGAGCTACACATGTAGTAGTGATGGCACTGGCACACAGGCCAGYTTTTCAAGGCTGAAACAAGTCCCTGTGGGCTTGTAGAAAAAAAAATATTTTTTTGCCATGGGAAAATTATATTCTACATTCTYACTGCCATCTCAGCCGACCTTGCAGTGCTGTCAAGTTATTTTGAAAATACCTTAATAGTCAGAAAAGCAGCTGAGTGTGACATGTGGGAACCACTTATTGTTGTGAATTTGTTTGGAGGCCTTAAAACAACAAAACATTGGCTTGAATGGTAAAAGACAGCATGAAGGAGAAATTGCAGCAATTAAATCAGCTCTTAAAACAGTTTGCCTAAAGCCTAGAAAGGCTTGTTTTCAGAGTGATCCTTATCAGTTTAATGAAATGAAGCATTACCCCAGCTTCCATGAATTCCTGAAGAGTATCTACTAGGAGGAATGAGCTTTAGTGCAAGAGGAAAAGCTGGCAAAGCATTTATACACTGCAGGGGACAAATCCTAGGAAGCACTACTTTTCTCAGCTAGGTCTTTCACCTTCTCTGTGCCTGGAAATTGAGCTGTTTTGTGTGCAAGTGTCTTGTATTCACAAAGAGGTACTTCTCTGTGCATATCCAAAACCATCCCATCCCTGTCCACTCCCTTTGGTAGCAGTGGTCCTAGTTTTTTACCTCAATACTCTGCTCCYGCTTTCCTGACTACACTGATTGGCTCTGTCTCCTTTCTTGGCACAGTGGACTTCCTTACAGGAAGCAGATAATAAAGAAAATCTTTAGATCGGAGAAGTGTGGGAGAGTCACTTTGAATCCCATCAATTTGGGTCTTGACCAGGAGARCCACAATATTGCTTTGATTTGTCTCAGCAATATTGATGTGCAGTTGTCTCACAAGGGCGTGTTCTAGGGACAATATTGTGGAGACAGACAGATTTGCATGWTGTTCTCTTCTACAAACTTGAGTGGGACAACCATGAACTATACCCAGTGGGTTTTTTCTTTTTCTGTTTGTGTGTTGCAGCAACCCATGCGAGCCAAGCACTGCCAGCTGTGCCAGCACTGTGTGCGGCGCTATGACCATCACTGCCCCTGGCTTGAGAACTGTGTAGGAGAAAGGAATCACCCCCTCTTCATAGTCTACTTGAGTGTGCAGCTKGTGGTTCTGCTGTGGGGAGGCCAAGTTACTTGGTAAGGCTGGGAGGTGGCATTCAGACCTCTGAGATTACTGAGAATTGTGGTGCTCCTCAGGCTGGCATAGAACATAGCAGTGGATGGGTTGCCATTGGATGTTCACTCTCTTTTACATCCTGGATCCCCTTAATCTTGACCAGAATCTAACAATTTAGGTTCCATTCTTCATTTTGATTCAATCACTGTAACATGATCTTTGTTTACACATTCAAGTACTGGAAACTCCAACAGGGTTCCAGCTSTTCAATGCATATGGCTGTACTCAAGAGATGAAACTCACTCYGAAGTTCACTGGYCAAAGGATCAAAATCAAACCATCAAAACTCAATGATCTTTGGCAAATGATGAAATASAACWTAGAGTGAAACATAAAACCACTTATCATARCATTACTTGGCCTTAATTTAGCATTTACTTAGCATCAACCAAGAAAATTCTTGACACTTATAAAAATGCTGTGTTACCCAGAAGTTCCAAGGAAAGAATATCAGGAGAAGAAGGAGAGGCAGAGAGGAAGATAGAAGGAGAGATGAGATCTAGAAAATCTAGGAGTTAACCCAGGGTGATTTTGTGTCATAGCTTTCACGGAACCAGCATCTTTTATAACTTTTTAGATTCTAGACTCTATGGTGCAGTCTCTCAGGACTTCATAGTATATTAACCCTATTGTAGAGGATTATCAGCAGTTCATTAGTTATAATTCATACTCCAATGTGTCATCAAATTTGCTTAGTTTATGAATCTAGTTATGTTTCTTCAAGTACTAATTCATTTCTGTTTGAATTGAAAGGTCAGGCCTCTACTTTGGACAATCCTGGGAGTTGCTGAAGCACAACATTTTTCTCCTTGTGTCCTTTCTCCTGATACTCATATTCACCATTGTGGTCCTGCTGCTGCTYGTTTCCCACCTGTACCTGATCTCCTGCAACACCACGACCTGGGAGTTCATGTCACACCACCGCATCTCCTACCTGCGGCACTCYGAGCTGGAGAACCCCTTTGACCAAGGGATAATCCTCAATCTCTGGAGATTCTTCTGTTCACGCCAACTCACTGCATGGGAGAAAATCTATTTTCACAGGAACAGTGAGCCTGTCTAGTCCCAGTGTGCCAACACACCTGGAGGCTGCTGGGTAAAGYTTTGCTAATGCAATGGGTGCTGTTCCTTTGCACTGAACTTTAACATATCATGGACTATGCACCCTGCTCCACAACCTGTTCATCTGCAAATTACATTTCAGGGATAGTCAGGGGTATTTTTTATATACAAATAACACTGTTAAAGGCAAAAATCCWGTTCTGGGAAGGCCAAAGCCAGCAGGGCTGATTTCCAGACTGAGCAAGTATCTTTCTAAATTTATTTCCTTTTGTTAACTGCATCCAGATCTCTCTGGTAGAAATGCAAGATTAATGTGAACATTCGTGTTCACTTCTCCAAGGTCTCCCTCTCCTTTTGCTGCTAGGGAACTGCTGCAATTACAAATAAAACCAGCCAGGATCAGTGTAATTCCTGTGGCCTTTTTTCAGCCTAGTTCTGACTGTGAGWACTGGAGTGCCTTTTGTCAGTAGCATCAGGCTCATAAGAGGAATATTTGAGTAAATATTGAGAGAGTCAATGCCACATGCCTCAACGTATTGCTTTCCACAAAGACTTGAGGCTTAATACTGTGATGTGCATGAGAAAGACACCCAATTAATCTTATGAGATAATTAGCCCATASATTGTGATGCCCTGAGCAGCTTCCTCACAGCTTTTTTAATTGATGATGCTGCTAACAATTCACTATTTTGAATCAAGCCAGTGAAGAATTATACCATTACCTTTCTTTGGACAGAAGAGTAATCCTTGGCTACTGAGTTATTTCTGCAGATAACGTCAGGCTCAGGCCTTTGCTGTAGCTTGGGAGAGAAGCAGTAGCAGAGGTGGGTACCTCATGCCTAACTCAAGTAACACTGTTGGTAAACCTACTACTACCTCAACTTACTAGTGACATTTTAATAAAAGACTACAATTTCAATGCAAGAGGAAAACTTCCAGGTCCTGGTTGATTCACTGAGATGAAAGATGCTGACAATTTTCAGGACAGCAGCAAGAGGACCTGTTTTCCATTGAAATAAAAGGTCATACTTCAGATTTCCATGGGGAACTAAACTGAAGTTTGGGATGGCGGATCTTAGCTTTAAAACAAGAAAAGGTTGTGGTGTCAATTTTAGTCCTGACCCTTTTCTGATAAAACAAAAACAAACAAAAAAAGAAAAATACCACAACAAAACATTAGTTAAAATTACTTTGTGCCTTAATTGTCTTGGCTCAGGAATTAACACCGACTCAGAAGCACTCAGGGTTTAAATTTGATGAACACTCATGAAAAGACAGTGTAGTCATGAACACAGCACGATAGTCCAAAAGCAGTTTAAAAACAGCAAAAGATCCCTTTTTTGACCACCTGCAGAGTTTGTAATCTGTGCCCAGTCTGGTTTGTTCAGTGTAGAAGTTGTATCAGAGGGATATCAGAATCCTAAGGATTGTTTTTCTGCTACACCGTTCAGAACAGATTCTGCAGTTTGCTTGTGTTGCTGTGGTACCTGCTAGTGTGAATCATTTGTCATTGCAATTAGGTATCAGTCAAATGAAAGTTTGTCAGCAGGTACAACAGGTCAAAGCAGTTTTCCTCTGTTTGGTATCTCTTAAAAATGCACCTGGATGTTAATTTACCTTTTTTTTTACTCAACCATAAATTATAAAATAAAATATTACATATGCATTTTTTAATTCTTTATGCCTCTTTCTTTGAAGGCAATTTCTAGGTTTCACCTGTGCTAACAATCCACTGTGCTACTTCCCATTTCACAGTGGCCTTGAAYTAAAGCCACAGAACACACCACAGGGGCCAACAGCAACAGTTGCCATTCAAACAAGAATGGGGAAAACATGTGTCCTGCTCTAAACGGGCCAGAGCACTGCCAGGTGAGCAGGAGGTTGAAAGGATCTTTGTGCACGGGAATTTTCAGAAGCAGCTAAATTTGGCTCTGAAAATAGGAAATACAGGTTGACTGTGAAATATCCCTTGTCTGCACAGAGCTCTTACCTYGCTGAATCCTGAAGCAGTGGGACCAGCCTTGGTTTAACAATTCCCTAGATCCTTGTCTTCAGCGACCGCACAGCTGCCTTAGTTCCACTCCTGTCTCCGTCTACTGAAGACAAACTGAAAGAGCAATGATTGTGTCCCTGTTTACATCAGATGCCCTAAAAACCCTTCCCGTTTTTCCCAACAAGGTAACATTATGAATTTTAGAGATGAAAATGTATCTTAACTAATATAATTATAAGATAGATTATGAGGCAATGAAATCACCTAAACACACTGATTTTTCAATACTAACACTGTTATTACTTAGCTGTCCCCCCCCAAAAAGGAATACACACAACTGATAAAATCTGTGGCGAGGTGACCTGACTGCAGTCATTGGTATCTGACAGCTGATGACACCATGCCATATGTATACAGACAACCTGAGTGAGATGGAAGAAATAAAGAAAATATTACTACTGGCATTTACTAAGAAAACTAAAATCCTGTCTATTGAGCAGATTTTGGTTAGCCCTGATATGAAACATTCAGCTGACACAAAAGAGATGAAAAGCTGAATATTTATTATATGGAAAGGTATCTTTATTTTCAAAAAAGAAAAAACATGTGCAAAGCTGTAGGGTTTGATATAATTAAAAACAATAGCTAAGATCTGGCACCTTAAGTAGAAACACTCATTTTCCTTCTGATAAATCACTTGGATCATTATTAAACATAATTGTAGTGTTAAAATTCATTCCTTGTCTGGCATACACATTTTTATGAGTGGGAAATGGCATAAAATGATTGCCAGGAGGGAATGCTGCTTCTTTAGAAAATCAGTGAGAAGTGGCCATTCCCCTGCTATGCTACAACTTTAAAAAGTCACACTACTTACTTAAGCTTTTTGCAAAGAATAACCTGGGTTGCAGAGATGATTTGATTTCATCAAGTCCAGCTTAAATTCCAAACTTCCATCTATACTCAATGGCAGCAGAAGATACATCCAGTGAAACATTGATTATTCCTTAAAGATAATTGACATCCAGTATCCCTCCAACAAATGAGGCTGGAAAACCCACAGCAGGTTAACTCAGCTTGTAAGGCACCTTCATCCTGGGGCCATCAGCACTACCTGTACTACAAATCCTGTTTGCTTTTCCACTGGCCCTTCTCTGTGCTCTCTCAAGGTGGTAACAACCTCTTCATGCATTTCATAGCACAAGGAATCACACATCTAAAAGGTGTCTGGAAACAAAGTCAAAGTCCTTGAAGACAGTCTGCTCCTTACGGGTTAGGAGAGCAACCTCCTCAGGAGGAGTAAGGATTGGCTTTTGAGAAGTGAACTCTTCATCAAAATTGCTGATGTCAGTGGGATCTCTTAACGTAGGCACAAATGGGGGCTTCAGCCTCCTGGCAAACAAGGCATCCCAATCAATTCCCTGTAAGAGAAGGAACAGGCCAAACCGATGTCAAGATTATTTATGAAATGTGAAAGTCAGAGGGAGAATTGAAGCCTCCATTGTCTTTTTTTCTACTAATTAAAGAAAAAAAGAGAGAACTGAAAAAAGGCCAAAAACAAACAGGACAGTTAGTGCAGGTAGTTCARAGATTCCATGCAGTCTATTTTACAGCTCAAACTGTATTTAGGAGGGACAAAAATACAGCTCAGCTGTGGCCAGGTGGATCTGTGTATCCCAGCAATTTCTGCAAACACCCAAGTTCTTTTCTTACTCCTGTGCAAATGGGAAGGAATGATAACATATTTGCCTGAAACGAACATATACCCCGACACAAAGCAATTTAATCTCCATTTCTCTTAAGATTCATGTATATCCTCCAAATGCAGTCRATCAAATATACTGACTGAAAATCACTGTCATCACTAGATAACTTCTTTGATGCTGCAGTTTGATTTAAAAAGGAATATTTGCTCATGTCTCTAAAGTTAGGTATATTTGTACATATAAGCAGCAWGATCAGAAATAACAGACTGGCTCTGGATGTGTAAAGATCCCAGAAAACCATCTTAGGGGATGTCATTTCAAGCAGGACTTGAAACATGTATTCCTGAATGGAGCAATGAAATTGGTGCCACAGAAATCACCACTAAGATCTCYGTGATAACAAAGGGAAATATGTCTCAATACCAACAGAGAGCAAATCACTCTCAGTTCAAATACAAGAAATAARGGAGAGGGATAAAGCAAGTTCCTACCTTAAAAAAGGGCTGAATTTTAATCTCTTCTGCATCTTTTTCCCCTGCTCCCAGTCTACGCTCTGGACATTTCCGAAGCAGCTGCAGAAATATCAGTTCAAAATTAAACAATGGGAACAAGAATGGAYAGAAATAATGTTCCAGAGAGAAAAACAAAAGAAAGTAGGTGGACTGATCCCTCGGTATTTTCTCATTCTCACTTTGCACCAAGGTCACTATCTGCCAGGAATAGCTCAGACCTAGTTCCTTGTAAACAACTTGCCAACAGCAATAAGATACCTGCCATAAACTGCATGGAGCATCTCAGCTTAATTGTGCACCTGTGACTGTGGGGTCACATTCAAAAACTGAATTCAGCCATCTCCATTAAACAGTTCTGACACCCCTGCCCTTGAATCAACACTTCTCCATGCCAGACKTAGCAGGAACAGTAAGCAGCCTGCTTAGTCATCCTTACACAGAAGAATTGCATTTATGTAAAGAGAAGGAAGGGAAAATATGTGCAAATTATAAACATTTCCTTAGCCAGTGTAGGCAGCTCCAGATTACATACACAAATGCTATCCAGTCCTAATCAAGTCCCTCTGGATYCACTCACACAGTAAATGCAAATTCCTCAGGCTTCCAGAAACCCATCAAGGCCTTTACCTTACGGATTATGGAAAGTGCTTCAGTTGAAAGGAACCGTGGATACYGGACTTCATCATTGACAATGCTGTCAAAGACTTCTTCCTCATCRTCTCCAGGGAATGGTGACTGCAATTGGGACATTCTATTATTTAATGCACATAGTACCCATTCCTCACTATTAAAYAGCCATGAGAATAGCAGGGAGTTGTGTGGATTAATTACTGTTTGCCAAGCATGATGCATGAGAAAAATGTAACTGAAGTACTAATAAAGAGTTGGTACATTTAGAAAAATTTTACTTCAGGTAGTTGGGTCCCCAAGCTTGGTTAGTGAGGTCCCCTCTGGGAAGGTGGCCTTACCTCACCAACAAGCATCTCGTAAATGAGCACRCCCAGGCCCCACCAGTCCACTGCCCGTGTGTATGAGATGTCTGTCAGCACTTCTGGGGCCAGAAACTCAGGGGTGCCACAGAAGGTGTTTGTCCGGTCTCCAAAACCTATTCCTATARGAAAAGGACACTTTGGTAAAATCCAGCACCYGTWACTGAATGGATCTGATGCAGCTTCRCCTCCTGAAAGCTGTAGTTTGTCACCTGATGTTGTTACCTGAGTGAGGGCTGGCATCAATGCTTGTAAATGCCAGTGAGGAAGTGTGAAACCTGAAGCCCCCAACRACTCCAAATAACAAATATTCAGACAGTGCTTAAATAAACAGCAAAACCAATTGCTCATTTACTCATGTTCATGTTTTATATTATCCTACATTCTAGCTCATTTGAWCAAACAAGCACATTTTAAATGTTTTCATAAGTCTCCTGAAGATTACACAACAAATTTGTCATGGCCAGACATGTGAGAGTTTTTTGTTGTTTGGTTTTTTTGGTTTTAATTTTTAAAATGGGGATTAACACAAGTTACATACTAACACCTACTGACATTCATATACTAATCTGATCCTGATGGCTCACCTTCCTTACACAATCCAAAATCTGCAATCTTCACAAATCCTTCAGCATCTAAAAGGAGATTATCCAATTTCAGGTCCCTGCAGGGAAAGGAGATGAAAAAAAACAGTAGA